CTGTTGATTGATGAGTTGGAATTAAATCTCAGGCATGTCACTTCTGAGATCATGGTGGGCCAATCTGATGAAGGGGCAATTAAGTTCATCAGAGATGCCATGTTCCAAAGAAGAGAAGGAGGAGAGAAAAAATGCTTTGAAATGTAAACTCCTTAGTAAAATATCTACCTCAAAAATAAAAAGACACTGCCCCTTTCCGGGGAGGACAATCATCCATGAGCGAATACGACATATTTTTCTTGATTCAGAGGATGGGATACTGATATGTAAGGGCCCAGTGTTGCCAAAAGCAACTGATGATGGCATCATTAATTTAGTTCAGCGAGAAAATGGCAATATTTGGAACTGTCAGTGAGTTTCATCCGGAGGCGGTGGAGTCACTACAACAAGCGTATGCATCACTACTTTGCTGCGAATGACATAGAGTGCTGAGAAGATTTTTAATTTTTTTCTTTCTTTAGTGTGTTTGGTGTGATGTATAAACTATTGAGTATGTAGTGACTTGACCTTAGGAGAACTTTGCATTTGTACATATTATTGTCTTGTCTTTATTGTGTGGCTTACATTACTAGAGTGCCACACATACTTATTCTCGCAAGCACATTCCTCACCCTATGGGTTGGGATGTGCAACCACCTAATGTACTGGTATAGCTTATACTGTACAGGCATATTACACTTGCTTGCCACACCTTTTTTCATCATTTCTCCTGAGCTGTTCATATAGAGCACACATATTCTAGAGAGTCTTGAGTCGATCTACAGCAAAGCTAATTCAGCTTCATCTTAATTCTTGTCCTATTTCTTCGCTTGTTTCTCTACTTGGTTCTGAGGCCTTATTACTTTATAGAGATTATAAGTTTCTTCTTCCTTACTTAATTCGCAAAGAAGCATCATTACTTTGTACATTGTCTTACATATTCTTTCTACGGGTGCTGTGCAATATTTGGACTATAATATATGTTCCAAGTATCTGTACTCAACAGCTGTTTCTACGAGACAAGGTAGGAAAGAAATCATTTTCTATTTCTTTTATTTGGGTGATTAAATTCCTTAAAAGTAGTTTGACTTCCCCCGGGAAAGCGGGAGATTGTTCTTTTGATCAGAAGGAACCAAAACCATCTTTTATTGAACAACGGTTCAAGTTCAATAGTAGAGCTTTTTCATATTGCTGAAAATTGCAAATATGAGAGCACACTGAATGACATGCTAAGAGACTGTTTGGTTTGCGGTGTCAACGACGATCGCAGAGCTACCGTTTGAAAAAGTGTGGCAGCTCGCTACCGCCGTGGCACTGGCGGATAAGAATACGGCAGATTTGTGAGCAGCAGCCCCGGGCACCGTAAACAAAATATGGAAAACTGGTGGCCATTCAAACAAGGACACTCTCCCAGACAAGCGGTCGCCTAACCAGAGATTATGTGATAGGTGTGGTCAAGCCACCAACCATCGAGCGTCCGACTGTCCGGCTAAAGGTATGACATGTTATTGTTGCGTAAAAGTAGGACACCTTTCCCGTGCATGGCGTAAAACCAGTCGACAAACAAGAAAAATCACAGCAGAAAGTTCAAAGAGGAGAGACAAATCGTCCACAAAACCAAAAAAGCATATAAACTGGAAGAAAATGAGAGTGATATCGAGCAAACAGTACAACACACTGGGTCACTATTTTACAAAAATAGTGAGGGAGAGAAATCGCCGCCATTAGAGGTTAGTCTCAACATCGAAGACACAGTATGCGTTTCCAACTTGACACAGGAGCATCAGTCTCACTAATGAGTGAACAGCAATTCAATGCCACTTGGATGCCAAAGAACAGACCAAAGATCCAGAAATCCAAAACAATCTTACAGACGTACACCAAGCAAGACGTAGAGCTGAAAGGAGGATGCTATGTCATTGCAATCTACCAAGTACACAAAGTGGTTCCTTCGGGACCAGAGAATGATGCCGAAGACCATGACGACAAGAAAAACGACGATGACGATCTTGTGCAGATTTCCAAGACTGCTCAAGTCACTCCAACAACAGCCATCGTTGTCACGCCCCTAAGGCTGCTCTCCGTGAGCTGATTTGTCAGAATATTGAGCCAATCAACTGCCAGGAAGTAAAATCAAGCCCTTTGATTGGCCAGAAGGGCAAGCGGCGAGTTAAGAGAGTCCGTCCATCAACCTTCCACTCAGCAGACCGTAGGGTATCTCGAGGTTACTTCCTCTATTACCTTTGATTCGTCAACGATGACAGCGAGAATGAGTCATGTGACGAAGAATCATCGGACGACGATGATTACATGGACGATGCCGACATCGAATCTGATGATCTTATTGGCCAGAAGGGCAATCGGCGAGTTAAGAGGATCCGCCCATCAACCTCCTACCCAGCAGACCGTAGGGTATCTCGAGGTTACTTCTTCTATTACCATCGATTCGTCAACGATGACAGTGAGAACGACTCATGTGACGAAGAATCATCGGATGATGATGATTACATGGACGATGCCGACATCGAATCTGATGTCGACGAGAATGATGACAGGATAAGAGCCCACAGTACTGTGAAATCAACTGCCAGGAAGTAAAATCAAGCCCTTTGATTGGCCAGAAAGGCAAGCGGCGAGTTAAGAGGGTCCGTCCATCAACCATCTACCCAGCAGACCGTAGGGTATCTCGAGGTTACTTCCTCTATTACCATCGATTCGTCAACGATGACAGCGAGAAAGAGTCATGTGACGAAGAATCATCGACGACGATGATTACATGGACGATGCCGACATCGAATCTGATGTCAACGAGAATGATGACAGAATCAGAGTCCACAGTACTGTATATGGTGATCAACGGGCACAAGTGCGGCTTTTAATAGTCTAGGGTACCGGACCAAGCCTGTTTGCCCGTAACTGGCTGGAAGTGTTCATTCTAAACTGGCAAGTATAATCCAGGAGTGGATAAGAGTGAATGGGGGAATTCCTGAAAGAGCACTAAAGATGTCAACAAACTTACACTAATCACTGGCCTCGTGCAACGACGATCAATGCATTGGACAGTGCTGGGGTTCCATCTAGCAATATCACGAGTGTCAGTGGGCACAAGAGGGAGACCAGTCTCAAACACTACAGTCGAACCAGCGAGAAAAAAAAAGAGAGAAAAGAGCTGTACTGTGAAAGCTCTACTTCTACTGCTACTTCTAGCTCAAGTTATTTATTCTCATACTTCCAATAGTATGACATTTAATTTGAATATTATCAATATTATATATAAGGGATGGACTCTTGCTTATTAGGACTATACTCCTTTTTAGCTCATGCCTTCCCTCTCATTATGTTATGTTTTTTGTTTGGATGTATGATGTTTATGTATGTTTATTCAGTATTTGTAAATGTGACTATTGTATATATTCTGTATTTTTAATGAGTGTAAATAAATGAACTTGAACTTGAAGTTCTGAAAGTGAGGCCAGGTCTGTGACATGCAGCAGTACCGAGACCAGCACTAGTAATACAGTCAAGAAACCAGGGCTGGGTACGCTAAAAGTTAAAGTGAGCATTAACATCAACCAAAATGTGTAAAATTGAGATCAGTGCCATTCGCAATGAAACTGAAGGTGGAGGCTGAACTTGAATAGCTAGAGCAAGACTGAAGAGGGCATCATAGAACCGGGCAAGTTTTTACAATGGGTCGCTACAATCGTGCCAGTTTTAAAACCGGATGGATCCATTCGGATCTGCAGTGACTACAAAATCACAGTGAATCAAGCGTCAAGAGCGGATACATATCCAATAACACACATAGAGGAGTTGTTCATGAAACTTGCTGGGGGAGAGTGCTCAACTAAGCTAGATTTAAGCCACACTTTAAAACCAACAGTTTGGCCACGAGAGTGCAACAAGCCTGAAACACTATAGCCACACAAGTGAAAAAAGAAAAAGAGAAATGAGCGGCATTCTTGCCCAACAGCTGTACTATGACAGCTCTAGAAATAGGCCTACTTCTACTGCTACTTCTTCTAATACTTCTACTACTGCTTCTTCTTCTTCTACATTCAGCAGCACTACTACTCATTCCTACAGTCAAGAAACCGTGGCATACGGCGATCCTGGTCCATCTTCCCAGCCTCAAGCCAGTAGTATCAAATTCAGCTCGTCGCAAATCCATAATCAACAACAAAGCATCCACAAACTTCTCCATTTCCATGGACGCAATGTTAACATCCATAATTATTTTGTGCATCAAATTCCACTGTAAATACGTTCTAGAATTGGATTTTGGCCAGTTTTGGATTTAATGAAGGAATTTCAGCTGTCTGATTCACCGAGTGTTCAGGAGTATGGATTTTACTCAAGCTTGCAAAATGTGGAATCCCATGGACTTGATTTTTTTTTTATAATCGAAATCTTTCAAGTTGATGAAACACCCCCAGGTATCTTGTAAGATCAGAGCGATTTATAGCGAGTTTACAGTTTGCATCATACTTTTCTGACACCCTGTCTCCATCTTCTCATATCCTATCAGATATTCAATTCAAGCTACATCGATGCAGACATAAATGAATTGAAATATAACAGAAGACTTTATAAGAAAAAATGTAATAAAAATATTTTTTGTGGCATTTGTTACATTACAATGAAATATATTGATAACAAGGACCCAAGGATCATGAAAATATGGTAAAAAAAGGGGGGGGGGGAAGAATTTTTTTAGAGTTGGCACCAACAAAATTTCCTTGTTTAATATCAGAGTTTCTTTTTTTTCTTCAAGGTTTCATTGTATACATGATAACAGATCATAAGTCTTTAAGTCCCACTGCACTACTTACAGCTACTTGCGCCCTCTATATTGCAAACAATGCCTAATCAGTGACCATTGGTCCCCCATGATCATCTTTTTCTTATGTTAATTGAGAGCTGATTTGATGAGACAACCACCTGTCAGTGACCATGCCGGGAGGTCTAATCCCTCCTGGTCAAACTAGTGCAGTGGGGCTCTAAACAAAAATCATTGACCAGTTTTAACAGAAAGTAGCTATTGAACAGGTCCAGATCTTCAAATTAAGGACACACGATGTTGCTTGGTAATAGTTGTGTTGTTATACTTCAGACTAATTTCATCCTGTGTCGTTGAGCGTCAGGACAGAAGCAAGGGCCTTGGCATAGGCTGAAAAAGAAAAGAAATTTGTAGAGAGAAAAGATAAGAAGGGAATTACTTGCGGAAAAATAAATCAATGCTTACTGACAATTTTTTGTTTAAAACTGGCTCCCTCTCCTGTCTCTATTTAATTCACTTCAAATTAATTCGAATTGGTTAAATAAAAATATCCAAGGTTTAAAGATGAAGTTGAGTTCTGGTCATGCGATTGCATTGTAAAAGAAACGGTGTGAAATCGACCAGAAAAGGTTGATCATCTAGCATATAAGAATTTGTGTGTATTGCAAGGTTCTGGAATCATCAAAATGATAAGAAATTTGGCCAAGTCTTGGTAAAGTTACAAACACTGAACACAGAAAGATGTACTATGGGACTACACGAACACGTGGCGTAAAAAACCTACCCCCGAGTTTTACGAGTTACATGACATATTTAGAACATAAAGGCATTTGAAGAGCCATGCTTTTCAGGGAACATGTCTTATCTGATGTTCTTCCACACTTGCATAATAAGAATGATAACGCTCACAAATTATTTTTCACCTCTTCCCAGAACTCAACCTTCTCTTTAATTGCATGTTTACAATTTAAAAATGGTCATAAAATAGGATCATTGATAAAAACAAAAGAGACTTACCGGTAATAAGTTGTCAAAGTACATAATCATTACAAATCAAAATCAACTTTCATAGAAGTAAAAAGCTTTGGAAACAAATCGTTCATAATTCTGCAAAATAGAAGCCAACGATTACTTGGCTGAAAATTAGTTTGTGTGTTTGTTTTCTGCCACAAGCTGTCATGATTCTAAAGCCCAGTTTTACGTGTCACTTGATACTGATATGATAAAATTGTGACCATTGGGTAGCATCCAGTTGTTGGACTGTGTGTGATGAAAATGGACTTTTCCCCATATATACATATTGTACACCATGCATAATTATCAATATGTGAACATACAACAGATAATTCCAAAACCATTTTTTATATCATTCTTGATTTTTTTCTCTCACTATATATGAAGATGCCTTATCTGTACACCAGGTTTTCACAAATCGTCGCTGTTTTCACGAAGTGACGGTAGTGAAAAAAAATTGCATTCACTTTGCGTTACGATTTTCCTCACTACCGTCACTTCGTGAAAACAAGGACGAAATTTTGATCCCTTCCCGGACAAGAGACTATCAAAGAAACCTAGCATTTTAAGGTTGAGCTACCTAATGCATCGTTCAGATAGGATGCAGTAAATCGTGGCAGGTTTTTAAAAAATTATGAAGGCGTAAAGTGTAATATTCTTCACATTTCTGTATAATTGTATATTATCAATTCAGAGGTCGGTGAATAAATAAAGGATCTTTATTGCAGTAGTTGCAATTTATTTATATGTTGTGATAATAACGACACCGTTTATTACTCTAGACCTGAACAAGCTTTTAGGATTGATAGATAGATAAATGGATTTCATTAAGATCTCCATGTCTGGCAGTTAAAAACTGAAATGAACATGAATTACAATAACAAAATTTCAAAGAACATTAACATAATAATATGAGATACCATTAGGTCACTTCCGCAATGCACTCAAATGCAATCTGAATGAAATACAAACAAGCTTTCACACTCGGATTGACGTACCTTTAGGATTCTTATAAAAGATGCAGTTATTAGCACAGGTTTCAGGGTTAGCGTCCCATACAGACGGCCCACAGGCGCACAGAGGTGGAGGGGTGACGCCTAGAAGCTTGATCCGTTCTTTCATCATCGCTCGTAAAGCTTGGATAAACCTAAGATACAAACAATTGGAAGTCTCGATTAGATATTAAACAGTAATTTCCTCCCACCCCCACATACAAGAAGCTGCACCACATAAAAGAATTCATCATTCATGAGTTTGATCTGTTCTTTCATCATTGCTCGTAAAGCTTGGATAAACCTAAGACACAAACAATATGAAGTCTCGGTTAGATATCAAATGGTAATTCCTCCCACCCCCATACAAAACGCTGCAGCAAATGAAAGAATTCATCATTTATGAGTTTGATCTGTTCTTTCATCATTGCTTGTAAAGTTTGGATAAACCTACGATACAAACAATATAAAGTCTTGGTTAGATATTAAACGGTAATCCCCCCACCCCAACACAAAAAGCTGCAGCAAATAACGGAATTCTAGTGTATTTCGAAGTGAAATCCAAACTTTTGTGTCATTCCTACAAGCTTGTTAAATGCAACTCTGGTAAGCAAGGGGTTAAAAACAAGTTGCTCCAAAACTGACCAGAAAAATCAGAAAAGCAGATTGGTGACAGTTTGAACAAAATCAGACAAAAATACCAAAGTTAGTAAATTTTGAAAACTGCAATCACTAAACATGTAATTTCAAATTGGCCACATCATTATTCAGTAATATCATTGAGATAATAGGGACTTTTAGATTCGTACAAAGACAATCTGGGTTGCTACGGTCGACGTCCTTTTAATGCACTGCCTTGAATGGACGTCACAGTATCAGTCCACGCAAATCTAAAAGTCCCTAGTGGCAGAGAAGGACAACTCTCCTTTTTGTTCCAACACATAAAATGAAGAAATTGAAATTTTTTTGTTGTTGTATATATAATATAAGTTGCAAAAGGTGAGTGATAGCATCACCAACCATCTTACAACACAATTATAATAATAATAATACAAGCAATTTATATAGCGCTCGTGACATAAACGTTTCAAAGCGCTGTACACAATCAAGAATAATTGAAGAAAAAAAATAATATTACTAACATAACTAGACAAATTATGATTAATTAGATTACCAAGAAGATACGTTACTAAAAAAATTAACATAACATGTAAATTACTGGGAAAATTAACATATTATATTAATAATAGCAACAATGCGCTAACTCTAACTGCAGACTCTCACTGAGAGCTACGGTGGGCCAATCAAGTGGTTCAATGCATCTCAGAATGGTTTCAAGTCTAAGCTGTCCATACCTTTTTGTCTCTTTGTTCTTCTGTCTCAATCTGGTCTGTATCCTATGGATTTCTTCAGCCTCTTCCATTTCTCTCCGTCTCATGTCTTTGTCTGACTCTCTTAGGATATCGACGGGTTGGCTCACGAGCTGAGACTGGTGCTCCACTTCAAGTCTCTCTTGCTCCTTTGCCTTTTTCAACCTTGAAATAAAATAGTCATACAAAGGCATTAATTACATATAATAGCTCGCAATAAATAGAATTAATAATCATGAGTTCTTGTCGGTCACACTTGACACTCCTGGTGCTTCTATCCTTGGGTCATCCACTGCTTTGCTCCTACAGAGATTATCACTATGTCCAATGTACTTCACTGACTCAAGGGTAGCCTGTTTACCAGAGATTGTAAGAATTAAAATCAACCAGACTATGAAATCCATTCTTGTGAGCCACTGGACTTCTGAACATTCTGTCTTCTGAGCTTTTCAAATCTTTGGTTTTGTAAACCTTTGGACTAGTTGTTTGAAAGTTCATGTATGGTCTGTCTTTCATGTGCACCATCGGTTTCATGAACCGATCTTTTCATCATGGATTGTTAAGTACCTTGCACTAAGAAGGACATACATGTATGACTAATGCATACCGATACTTTTTATACTCTTTCGTACAATATTTCTAGAATGTCCAGTTTTGGGGCCTTTTTAAATGTTAGGTTCGACTTGGCAGAGTTTTCATTAGGAGTGTGCCTTGCACTTTTACTTACTCTTGTATTTTCTTGTGATGTGTTTTCTTCCTCATCTTCTCTCTGACTTGTTCTCTCTCAATATCTGAGTAAAGTCTTCTGTACATAGAGAACTGCATGCCATGCTGTACAGAAAAATGAACAAACATTAGAGTGCATATCACTTTCATCATCTTATATTAAAGAGGGACTGCACTGCTTGTAGCTACTTGCGCCCTCTATATAGCCAACAATGCCTAAGCGGTACCTGTTGACCTCCCATGGTCCCCCTTTTCTTATGTTATTTGAGAGCTGATTTGATAAGATAACCACCAGTCAGTGACCGTACAGGGACGCCACACTAGTTCAGATAGGCTTTAGGCTGAGGCAAACATATTGATTGAAGTTCTTTCGTGCATTTGCATTGCAGATCAATCTATTCTAAAATGTTGTTCAAACAGATTCAGAGAGATCACACGTACAGTACAAAGACATTTTGTAATAATTCATAGACCGTACAGAACCTTAACTTAGAGAGTCTTGAAGATGACAGAATATCAATCTACAAGACTCTACATACTTGAGCTATACAGTATGAAAACATTGATGATCAAGGACCATTGAGGATTATGTTTGTGGAGACAAGGTTTCCAGGGGGGTCCTAAGATCCTAAGTCAAACTTAACTCTTAGATTTAAATATTACGGAGAGCCATTTGTAGCCTCAAAGTAAGATATATTAAAAAGTGAAAATTCAAGTATTTTAGACTTTTTATACATTCCACATCAAGAACAGGATATCTGCTTGATAATAAGAAATATGAATAATTATTTCCAGGTGCTTTAACTGCCCTACTGCTGACTCTCACCTGTCTCCTTTGTTCTTCAGCTACGACGCCAGGGTTGACCTCTGGCACATGACCCTTGAACCCGTCACCCATTATGACATGACCTTTGACATCTGTGTCACCATTGCCTTTGCTGTATAAAGGTAACTCTTCTTGCTGCTGATCTGTGAAGTATTCCTCAAAGTGAGGTACATAGACATGATGAAGGTCACTGGGTTCACTGTGATCACCGTGGCCATGGCGATGACCTTTGACCTTTGCAGCCAGCTGAGGTGACCTCTGAAGTCTGGGGGCAAAGGTGACGTGCTTCGACCTTGGACCACCCGACTCTTCTGGCTCTCTGTTCTGGTGGTTTGGGTAACAGTCACCACTCTCGTCATAGAGCGCTTCTTCTATGGTATCCTCAGGGATTCTTCTATTGCTGTGTGTGGTGGAATACGTCTGAAGGTCATTGACGCCAGTTGCAGAATCAGTGGGAATTTTGTCAACCATCTTTGCATGAGAAGAAAGAAAATCAAACATGGTTATTTTGACACACTTACATGTACATGTAAATATCATATGATACTTTTAAAACATTTTCAATACTTTTACAATTTACTTCAGAGATATGAATGCATAAGGAATTGGCTGTATATGAATGGAAAACAAGGCATATGAACAACGTGCAGTCAATCTGAATTATTCTGTGTTGAAGCAAATTTTGAAATCGAAAGTCTCTTATAAAATTTCTGTAAAAGTAAATATTGACTGGCGGTGAAATATTTTATACAACATTGAAAAATGAGGGTAATATGAGACCATATTCTTTAAGAATAAACATATCATATCTTAAACACTTTTACTTACCTCTGTTGGTTTATCTCTAGAGTATGCAGATCCCCATATGCCTCCAGGAACACTGTGTTTATCCATCTGAAACATGAAAGTGGAGGGCAAAAAAAATGAGCAACGGGTTGAAAACAGTAACAGTAAATAATAGAGAAGAGAGTCATGCGCACAAGACTATTTCTTTATTTCTTTAATAAGTTATGTGAACACAACTCCAACAATGAGATTCAACTTTAGCTTCATATTATATCCACTGCATATTCTGGAATACCGTTTGAACTTTAAAATCACAAATTCTTTTATGTAAAAGGCCCTTGAAAAGGCTTGAAAGTATAGTTACTAATATTGTTTGGATTCATTTGTCAATTGGAATTGACGAATGAATCCAAACAATATTAGTAACTTATACTTAACTTATACTGAACTGATCATTCATTAAAACAATTTGTTTTCTTCTTTTATTTAAATAAATAAACATATTTTCTTTCAATTTTATGGGAGAGAGGTAGATGAAGTCAACCAAGTTAGAAAATACTAATTGTAATTGGCCTTTTGGGTCTATGTATGGTAGACACATATAGTTAACTAAATTCGTTACCACTTAATAAATGTGCATAAATGCCTAGCTTTTTTACCTTGGGCTTGACTACCAGCTGTTTCGCGGCCAAATCACGCTTAGCCTTCTGCACCAGTCTCCTTGACACTCCGGCCTGTTCCCTGACCTGCTGCCCGATGACCAGTCCCCCATCTTCTTGCCCCTCTCTCCCCCAGGCCTCTGGGGTGGGCTGGGGAGCAGTGCGGCCTATGGCGTGGGGTTCACTGTTCTGGTAGATACAGTTGTCTTTGCGATGTGAGAGGATGTTGGCCGAGGGGGTGGTGCGATGGACAACCCTACCTTGCAGATTCACCTGAGAGGAACATAAAAAATGAGGCAACTTCATGAAAACACTGGCAGATTTAGTGTTTTTGCTTTTTATTGTTTTTCTTTTCTTTGCTTTTTACAAACATTTTTTTTGCCATTTTTCTTATATTGCTTCTATTTCTTTCTTTATTATTATTATATATTTTTTAAAGGGGAGGGGGGTGAACAACCAGCCCATGGCCATGTCCCCCTTTTAAAACCATCATCTGAGGTACATCACTCCCCAAATAAGCCTGTCACCTACACAAATTTTGCATCAAAGCTCACCTCCAAAGTCCAAATTGTAATAGCATGAAAAGTGTTTATTTGCCAAAGTCCTCAAGAGTTGTTTAGAGATATGAGTGTGAGGTAATGTGAATGGATATTTGAAAGCGTGTTCACTCGTCACACAACATAACTCTTATTTTTATTTTAGCTACGAGGAAGCAAGGTTGCACTGACAATAAAATACATGAAAGAAAGTATTCCCTTTTCGTTATGTTTATTGGGTACTGATGAGGCCGACGTACACTTGCAAAGTGTAGTCAAGCACAAGCCGAAGATTCGGAATGAGAATGCATAAATGAGAATTGAAGATATTGCACGTAGTTACATTATAATGATCAAAGATAAGAATGAACATGAATAAATGCGATGTACATAATGAATGAAAGCTTACGACAGAATAGAAATGGCGTCGAAAGTCCAATGAAAAACCTCGTGGAGTTGAAAATACGCGGGGTGAACAGTGCGGAACCACGATGCGCGATTGGAGGAATGAACACACGTGGTCCGAATAATGAATATAAATAAGTACCGTGATGGAAAAATACAGGAGACATGAATGTACGGTGAAAGTAGGGCATGTAAGAGCCGCTACAGTTGTTTTTGTTTTCCTTTAATTTTTTAATGTTCCTTTGGCTTGTATAGGTACATGGTATTCACTTATGGAGTGACTCTCTAGACTCACTGCTTGAAAAGATTCCTGCAGCTGCTTCTGTTTCTTGATCCGCTGCAGTTCTCTGACCCTTGACCTTACTTCCTGCCTGAATCGTGCTAGCTTTGCTTCCTTCTCTGCTTGTAGCGTCTGAAGACGTTCCCCCTCATATTGGGCTGCCACCTGAATTGAACGAAGAAGAATTAATTAAACAAGCACGCTCATTAAATTCGATTAACGACTAATAACAGTCATCATTATTATCCATCAAAAAGACATTTTCAAATAAATTTTGAACTTTTCAATTTGTACTATCTATAGACAGTATGGGCGCTGGTCCAAGATAATTAAGGGTCGTCCACATAGGCCTAAACAAGGATCTTCTTCGAATTTGTAGTTTTTTGTACAGAGACTTTCACGTTCTGAGCGATAAATCCCTGGGAAGACGCACAACCCATAGATATAAGTAGATCTAGACAATGAACTGGGGGTAGACCCTATTAGGTATTTTATGACGCAGTTTAGTCGCAGAATCCATTTTCGCATTGCCCCGATTGCCAGCGCGCAAATCGGGAACTCGAAACCCCAGACAAGCTGAGCGCCGAATCAGGGAAAATGCAAACGATCCTTATTTTTAAGGACGCGATTATTTATTGTCTGCGTTTACAAGGATAATTTGCCTTTTTGGATATCCTTGTTTATGCATGCGGACGATCGTCATCATTCACGAACCTGCATGACGGTGGCGTGGAGTAAACATTGACAATGCAATGCCAATTCATGTCACCTACCCTTGGGCTTGGCCTTGCAGTTGCATATGCCCCGAGCCAGCGCCCCCTGCCCCCTACCGACCGCCTACCGACCGCCTACCAGTACCACGCCACGCCGGAGCGGCCCCATGGTTGATTGCGCTGCTGGTGCACTGCTGCTGAGGCTAAATCATATCGCCAACTTACCACTGCTGCGAACGCGTCATTATCATTTTGTGGGCACAGTTCAACCCAGGCACCGACTGGAACAACTTCACAAGGTCTTTTGTCAAGAATCTGTTGTGTTTGACGGTGGAATTTGCTGTTTTTCGGTCTGGAATTCATTGCAAAACAGTATTTTCACGATTCAATTTGCTTCGTTAGTTTTCAAATCTAGCCGCATATCGATTAACAAATTCGTTTCTTACAGCCTTAATGTCCAGTCGCTACAAGTCACTAGTGCATGCAAAACACCAAATTATATTTTTTAAATCTTCAGTTAAAAGAAAAAAAATCAAACAATTTATTCTCAAGAATTTTTTTTAAATAGGGATGTAATATTTCTCAAAAAAATAGTTGAATTCACAAGGATTTCTGAATAATCTGTAATCAATTTTGTTTTCTTTGCCTGGGATACGTATTTAACAATTCGCTATCGTATCGAGGTAAACATGCTATCGCCAAACTAATGAAATACAGTCTCAAAATCTCATTCGAAAATGCAGAATTCATCAGAAAACGGAGATCTTCAAGAATTCTTACGGAAGGTCGATGAACTGGGTAAGATTTCTGAACAATATTTGTATTAGAATGATTAATATACGTAGTATTAAAGCTTGATAATCAGATCAGATGATTCTAGACCCTAAGTTTAATTTTCAATTTCGTTCCCACGCCGTGACACACGAAGGCTTCCTGGAGTTGGCTGCACTGTAACTCCGGGAAGCTCCAACACCGGCGCCGCAGGCGTCGCCGGTGTTGGAGCTCCCGGAGGCGTTATTTTTTTATGCGGCACAGATTGGGGCTTTTTTTAAAAAGGGGTCTTGATTTACAGACTAATACTGGTCGTGTGCGTACTAGACAGTATAAGTAGTAGAGGTCTGTTTTTAATAGTGTTACATGTAATCCACTACCGCATGGAAAATCATTACATCAACAATTAAAATCAAATTGGAAATCTGAAGAGGAGGCAGCACGTCAATAAGGAGAACATCACAATAATTAGTCAATAAAACTTAACTAACTTAAAGGTAAAGACCAGTAGACCTATTGGTAACGCCCCAATTTCAAAAAATGAAATGGAAGCTCTCATTACCAATCATGTGAAAGAATATGTTTTGACTAATACATGATGATAAAAAATTTGCCGGGAAACCGCCTACTAATTCATAATTGGTAAATTTATTTCTCTCATGGTCGTGTGAGAGAGATAGGGTAGTCCCATATACATCTTTCTGTGTATAGTGCTTGTAACTTTACGAAGAATGGGCCAAATTTCTTATCAATTTGATGATTCCAGAACCTTGCAGATGCTAGATGCTAGATGATCAACCTTTTCTGATCGATTCCAAAACGTTTCTTTCACAATGCAATCGCATGACCATTACTGGTCTTTACACATAGTTCGCGATGGATATACAAACTTCTTCGCAGCGCTAATGCGCTAGCGAACATGACTAGTCTCACGTACGTGCAGACACTATTCAGAAGGGAAAGAACGTACTTCCCATAGGTTTAACACGCGCCATGCCCCAATCTGTGCCGCATAAAAAAATAACGCCTCCCGGAGTTAGCTGCACTGCAGCACATGAGCTGCACTGCAGCTGCACTAGCTAGCTGTACCTGTAGTCAGACTACGCGTGTCAATGCAATTATGGTTGAACTTTAGAGTATGAATGATCATGATGATGAACCCTGCTGCTTCAAACAGTAGGGACAGTGGTCCGAGAATAAGGATATTCCGCCTTAGCGAGGATATCCCGGGCCGTATATCCTCGTAAACATTCTGGTATCGTAAACGCGGCAAATCGCGTCCTAAAAAAATAGGATTGTTCGCATATTCAAAGACGATCCGCGCATTGGCAATGCACAAAACGGATTCCGTGATGATGCCCCATGAATGCGTTTATCATTGACGTAGCACAGAGACTTTCACGTTATGAATAATAAATCCTCAGGAAGACGAACAACCTGTAAAAGTAGATGGTGAAATTTTATGGTATTTTATTATCCATTTTTTTCGCATTGCCAGCGCACGGATCAGGAACCCTGCACCCACAGAGCGCCTAAGAAAAAAAAATAACTGAAAATGCAGACGATCCTGTTTTTTAGGGCGCGATTTGTCCGTGTTTACGCGGATATCCTTGTTTTTGCGGACGATCCTCATCTGCTGGACAGTAGGGGCACTGGTTGGAGAATGAGGATCATCCTCATAAACGCTGACAAAATGCATCCTCAAAAATGAGGATGGTCTGCATCTTTGCGGACGTTTTTTTTTTCATCGTCGCTCTGCTGGTTTTGCCTGCTGGCGGTGCCAAAAATGCATTCCCTGGGGGAAAATAACCCTAGTTCACCATCTACCTTTATGAGTTGTCTGTCTTCCCAAGGATTTATTGCTCATAATGTGAAGGTCTCTGTACAAAATCAATGTAAAATGCATCAAGAAAATCATAACGGACTCCGTTTTTTTACATCCCCAATGTGCCGATCAAAAATATGAAACGTCTGCGAAAATGCAGACGATTTGTCCGCGTTTACTGAGTCAATCCTCGTTTATGAAGACGATCCTTATTCTCGGACCAGCACCCCTACTGCTGGAGGAAGATTCTTATAATATTAGGTCTATTTACGTCTCATACAGTCGCACTTAGATGTCAGTGAGCAATTTAAAAATCTTAAACAACAAATGCATGAACTTGTTATAATGACATGCGATTGCATACAATAATTAAAAACGTTGACCTGCTCTGATTGGGGGTTGCAATGGCCAATATTGATGCTGGCTAGTATCTCATGTACCAAATCAAAAGTTTGATCAAGTCAGTGACACTACCCTTGCCTACTTTTGGCACTTGAATTTCCTCCAGGCCCCAGTTTACATTCACTAGCGGAACGATCAAACTAAGGTCCAAGCCGCCCCCCCCCCCCCTTTCCCTAAAATAGAAGAACAAAAAGGGGAAGAGTTAGTATTGGAGCCATGCCTTAAAGTGTAATGTCATTTAATATGTTATTCTTTGCAGAATCTGTGGTGAAGGGTGATCTTAAAGTGACAGAGGATGTATCACAGAAAGTAAGACTTGAGAGCGAGGAGCCGGTCAACAGGACAGTCATCAATAAAAATGCTTTCAAGGATGAGCATGCTACTTCTCCGCCAGTCCATCAGGTAAAGGTCACAGGTCAGATGTTGATCAGACATATCATGAGGCGACATCTGCTTCATTGCAAATTTTTTTTTTGGGGGGGGAGGAAAGAAGAAAAAAGTATAATTTACAAAAAAATAAGAACCCCCCTCCCAGAAAATCATGTCATTTTAGCAACAATTGTAAATCACTGGTATCGAATTAGAAATAAAACATGTTTGACATTTTTTGGGGGGTATCAGTATTCTAGCGAAGGCATATTTATTAAATTCATTTATTCAAATTCCTGGCAAAGAAGATTTTTTTTTAAAGGAGCAAATTAAAAACATTGTAAGAAATACCACTAACTAGTGATGTGGTAGCTTGTAGTTTTGATCTGTAGAGCCTTAATTAAAATCTTACAGTTTTCAATATTTGTGATTGACTTCATTTGTTGTCCTTTACTTCCTGTGTAGGGACCACCTGGGGCAACACCAATGGACATGTCTCAGGGTGAGTGATTACTACGAGCCACAATGAGGAATGAAGTTGATAATTTCTCGCTGAAAATAGAGAGAGAGAAAACTGGAAACCATGACGATTCATTTGTCCATAGGACTCTCTCTCTCTTTCTTTTTACCTGTTCATCTGATTCATAGTGTATTGAGGGAGACAGTAATTGTTGTGACATGCAGACGCATTCAAGTCCAATTCATGGAGCGCTGAAATAGTTCCCTCCTACATACAATCTCTATGTGAGGGGACTATTTCAGTGCTCCATGAATTTAATCTTGAGTGCGTACATACTTATCTCTCTCAATATGCTATGATCTGTTTCATTTGATTCCCTCTACCTCTCCTCCCACCCCCTTCTCGATCCCCCACTCTATCTCCATCCTCTCCTCATCTCTGTCTCTTTCTGTGTCTCCTCCCCTCACTTTCTATCTCTCTTTGTCCTCAGTCTGTCTCTCTCTTTCTTCCATTATCTTTATTCAGGCCTGATAAAAACCCGATTTAAATCGGTTTCCCGATTTTTTTTATTTTTCCCGATTTTTTCCCGATTTTTTTTCTTCTTCCCGATTTAAAAAAAAAAAAAAAAAAAAAAAAAATCATTTTTTTTTTTTTTTTTTTTTTTTTTTTACCAATTTTTTTTTTCCTTCCCTATTTTATCCTGATTTTCCCGATTTCCCTCTTATTATCTCTATTCTTCCCTATTTTTCCCCCAATTTTCCCAAGTTTGTCTCAATTTTCTTACTCGAAAGGGGGGAATGTTGTTAGATGCCGTTTTTTCCCCGCGAATCGTCTTTTTTTTTTTTTTACTCAAGGGGGGCGTGGTTGAGGGGAAAACAAAAAACCTATTTTTTTTTTAGTGCTCACTATCACCCCTGTTTATTATACCTGGATCACACCTCCAAACCAACTCTACATTGACTCAAAATCAAACAATTCTTGTCCAAGGGAGATAATATAACTTTTTGCTTGGTATGGCATTGATCTTGGTAGTGTGATTGGGCACCACTCTTTCTTTTCTACATGTACCTGTATGCAAATCTGACAATAACTGCAATCATCATTTTGTGTCATTTTGTGTACTATATGAAGTGAGAAAGTCATAAATGATAACAACTCAAACAGAGATCAACATCCTGTGCCAAACTTTTGCCTGACTGCATGTTTATTCAGCCCTATTGGAAGATGTGTCTCTGGTGCTCTCCCTCAGTATGAACATAGTTTTAACTTGTGGATCACATAAACAGAACATTGTCGCATCCTCCCTTTTTTTGAGTTTAGTAAAAGATGGGAGGGTTCAGAGCCATCTGCATGTATATATATGTAGCGCCCACACCCCGAGGGAGGGGGCATACCTATTAAAGGAAGACAAAATAAGAAGGGTGTTGACTAGGATGCATGGCAAAACAAAGTCTTTATTACTTAATCTTTTACAATAACAGTCTTTTCTTACAATAACATATATACGATCAAATGGCATAACAATACTCTTCAAGTATTAAACACAAATAAATCTACCTGTTCGCATACATTGAATTCATTAGCTCTCCGTGTTCTCTTACTATATCACTAAGAACATCATCTGGTTAGTTTCATTACTTTACTATCTCTA